AATTTTTGGCAAATACAATTTTAGCTGCTGTTAATACATTTATAATCAGATATATCAATTTTTTACTATATCCTGTATCTGATGACACTTTCAACATTTCTCCAATTTGTTCTTAAACATCCTTGCTATTCTTGCTGGGGGTAGATGCCACCTGTAAAATATCTTATACAAATTCTCTTTATATGCTGTTGTCATTGTTATTTTATAATTTCGAGACCATAATTTCTGCCATCTTTCTAAATCTATCCTGTATCCAAAATTTTTCCCCCAAGCAATCATTGTTTCTTTAACTTGTTCTTCTCCATTTACTATTTACTACTCCAAGTAAATATCCATATAATTTTTTAATCATCTTCTCATCAGTACCTGTCAAAATTTCATCTAATTCAGTAAGTTCCTTGTAAAATCCTTCTGTCTTATGATCTTTATCATATCTAAAATGTATTTGCACATATGAATACCAATCATCTCTATTTCTTGTTCCTCTAGTTCTTACTTAGATTTGAGTTCACCCTCTTCATTTAATATTTCACTATATCTTACTGTTTGTTCCATTTTATGAACAATCCCTCTATAGTTGACAACCAGACTGGTATTTTCATGTAATGTTGTTTCCTTATTTTCTCCCCTATTAATAATAAAGCATCACAGATATAGTGTCTCCTAAAATACCCATGTGTTTTACTTTCCTTATATCATAAAAAGCGTGCCATCCCAATAAAAGGTCATGACCTTCTAATGTTAACAATCTAGTACTCCTTAAGACTATCCATTCTTTCACCCACATCAATGTTGCCGTCTAGTAATATAATTCCCAACTGGGTAAAATAAAACCACCTCTTGTTCTAGCATCTTGTAACAATTTTAATTTAATTCTTGCCTTCTTTCCCTGCCATATATACTTCAATATTATTTTGTTTAAATCCTCAAAATATTCTTTCCCTAGTTTAATTGGAATTGTCTGAAACAAATATAAAATCCTTGGTAATATATTCATCTTAATTGTAGATATTCTCCCTATTAGAGATAACTGTAAGTTTTCCCATTTTTTCAAATCTGTTGTGATCTGCTGTTTGAATTTATAGTAGTTATCTTCCTTGAGTGTTCCACATCTTGCTGTTAATTGTATTCCTAGATACTTAACTTTGTTTGTGATCTGGATGTTCAATCTCTCTATCAATTCTTTCTTTTGTTTTTCCACCAAATTTTAACAAAAATCTTAGTTTTATCTTTATTTATTTTCAAACCTGCTGCCTGTCCATATTCTTCAACCTTTTCTGTCAACTTGGGTGCTGTTTTTAATGGTTCCTATAGTATGAAAACCAGATCATCTGCGAACGCTTGTAACTTGTATTCCTCTTTTTTTATTTTCATTCCCTTTATTTCAGTATCATTTCTAATATTTCTATTTAGTACCTCCAAAGTCAAGACAAACAGCAGAGTTGACAGCAGGCATCCTTGCCTAGTTCCTTTTTTAATATTGTTATTATCTGTTAAGTCTCCATTTATCATTACTTTGGCAGATTGCTTATGATATATTGCCTTTATAGCTTCAACAAATTTTCCACCAAATCCCATTTGTTCTATTTGTAATATCATAAACTGCCAATTTACATTATACAAAAGCTTTTGCACATCTAAAATACCAAGGCCATTTGTTTCTCAGGATGTGTTTCATAATATTCCAAAATATTCAAAATTATTCTCATATTATCCTTGATTTGTCTCTTTGGCAGAAATCCATTTTGATCAACATGTATAAAATTATTCAAATATCTCTTAAGTCTTTCTGCCATTATTGAGGCAAAAATTTTATAAACTGAATTCAACAGGGAGATAGGCCTATAATTTTTTATTTGTTGTAGGTCAGAGTCCTCTTTTGATATGAGGGTAATGTATGCCTCTGTCCATGAGTTAGGTATTTTAGTTTCTGACAAAACTTCATTTATCACTTCAAGCATTGGGATAGTTAAAGATTTCTGTAGAGTTTTGTAAAATTCTGCTGGCAGCCCATCTGGGCCCGGGGCCCTTCCAGTATTTTGTCTCTTTAACGCCTCAGTTAGTTCCATCATCATTATTTTCCTTTCTAACATTATTTTGGTATCCTCAGATATCTGAGGTAGCTCCGCTCTTTGCAAATATTGTTTAACTTTTTCTTCATCAATATTCCCTTGGTTGTATAATTTTTCATAATATTTCTATTCTATCTTTTTCTTTTCATCATCTCCATTACAAGTCCTTCCTTGATCAATTGCATTATCTTTTTCTCTCTCTTTTTTCAATTTATACACCAACCATCTGCCTGGTTTATTTGAATTTTCAAAAAAGTTCTGTTTAACACTTCTGATTTTTTGAGCTAGCTCTTATTTTTCCATCAACCCCATTTTATGTTTAACTATGTCCATTTGATTTTTGATATCCTTTTTTGTGTGGATATCTTTGTAAGTCCTTCTCAAGTTTCTTGTAGTCTTCCTCTAACATCTGTTGCATTCGTCTTTTTTAATATTTCTTTTTCTCATATAATCTATTATCAGTCCTCTGGCATAGGCCTTCATGGTATCCCACAAGTTTTGTATTGAGGTGTCCTCTTTGTTGTTCTTTTTGAAGAAAAAGGCAATTCCTTTTCCATCTTTTGTGTAAATTCTTTTTCTTTCAATATTGTATTATATTTCTTTCATTATTGTATTGTATTGTCCATCTAGATTTTTCCTTTGTCCTTGCCACTCAATTACTACTGGATTATGGTCTGCCCAAGTATTTGTTTTGATATTAACTTCTTGTATATTAGAAATTAGTTTCGTTGATATCCAAATCATATCTATTCTTGACCACGATAAATGTCTATTGGAATAAAAGGTGTATTATCTATTTTTTTCATTTCTTTCTCTCCAAACATCTTTAATGCTTAATTCCTCTACCATTTTGAAGAAGGATTTTGGAAGTATCTTTCTATTTTGTTTATTGACTTTCTGTGTTGTATAGTCCAGTTTTGCATCTATTATTCCATTAAAATCTCCCATAAGACATATATTATCATATTCCAGTTCTATAATTTTCTTGTGCATTTTTTATAAAATTCTTCTTGTTTTCCATCAGGAGCATATATTGCTACTATAAGTATCTTTGCATTGTTGTCAATTATTTCCACCATTAATATTCTTCCTTCTTCATCTGTAAAAATTAATTCAGCTTTAATTGTATTTTAAATGTATAATGCAACTCCCCCTTTTGGGGGGCAATGAAGTATATAAATTCTCAATTTTAGGATATTTCAGTACCTGAACATATTGTTTTTTTATGTGAATCTCTTGCAGGCAAATTATGTCCAATTTTAATTTTTCTAAGTTCATTAGAACTGGTAGCAGAAATGTTGAGTAGTTTGGAGAACCAGCAAATACCACTTCTGACTGGAGATTTTACAATATCCTTCCCCTGCCACACCCACCAAGCCATGCTCACAGAACTGGTAGTAAAAAAAAATTGAATCCCACCACTGCTATACACTTACTTAATTCAACTCTGAGTCAGAACATTCATCTATATGTGACTCTAAGACATGGAAAATATTTCAGACATGCTGGGTCTATTTTCCCTTTGATTGGAACTCTGAGATCACCCAGCCAGAAGCTGATGCCCATATAGATACGGGATGATAATGAATAATTCAGATTTTTGCCTGTGGAGAGAGGTCAGAAAAGTCTGTTGAGAGATACGCTGCAGTTTGCTTATAATTCCTTTTAGTGGCAATTGCTTTATCCTATATTTCCTTTAGGAGTTCAAGGGAACATTTTATTATTTAATTCATTATTTAATTCCCAACACAACAACTGTGAAGTAAGAGGGACTAGCCCTAAATGCCCCATGAGTCAGATGAGCTCTTGGATCAAGGTCTCCCCTGTTCCAATTCCAGGATCTTCACTACTTTCTATGTAATTAAGATTGCATTGTTGACAAATCAATGTTCTGAATATAAAATTTCTTAATTTGATTAATCAGAGTGACCAGTTTTTAACTGACCAAAGGATCATCATTGAATGAAATGGGCAGCAAGTAAAAACAATGTCAACATCACAGACTGTTCTGACTCACGCTCTTTTTCCAACAAATCAATCACAATCCAAAGGGAACAGAAACCTTGTAATGCTTCTGCAAAATAATTAGCTGTGATAAGCAGAAGCCTTGCCAAACTGTGAGAGACTTGCCAAAAGATAATGGACAAGAAATAATTTGCAATACAAGAATCTTCAAATACAAATTCAGGATACTGGAATGTCCATAAGTTTCAAAATGTCTTTTGCCTTCTGCAAAGTATGTTCATTTCACAGCTGGTTTTTATCTTCTTGAAGGAGGGGCCATTACCTTGCAGCCTTACTCCCGAGTCACTTGTGCTGTTGTAGCTGCTCTTTCCTTCGAGCAATCCTGTGCGCATGCACACTTGGCACAGGCTCCTCGGGAACCTCCTCATCACTGCTGCCAGCTCCCACAACCTCTGAAGGCAGCAGCCCACTCCTTAATGGTCCTGGCCCCTCATCTGAGTCCTCACTCTCCTCAGCCATCCGCACCTGCTGCTGGCTAACCACAACACAGACACTGAAACTCTTAGAAGAGGCATCCCCCCTTTTTTTCATGCGAGATCAATCTCCTAAGGTTATGAATGCATTAATTCATGATTAAGTCATTGTCCAAAATGCACAATTAGTTGAGATTTAAAAGCAAATTTATAGTTCTTTCAGAACAGGATCCCTGTCTTGTGGTTTGTGAAACAGTGATGGAAAACTAAGCAACAAATGTTATGTGATAATATATACTGTATACAATCTAACTGTATATACAGTCCTATATGTACACAGAAAACACTTCCCTGGATCAAAGTGAACACAGAACCCTAATTTAGCCATTTGGTTAAAATAGTTGTCCTGTATTATTTAATAGGAATAATCATATTTTTAAAAGAAAGGTCTTGCCTTCAAATCTCTTCTCCCTTTCTTCTTGTTTTTCAGAGAACTCTGGGTGAAGGATACCATCTTAAAAACAAAAGGAATGCCCCTTGTGTCTATACCCCCCCTTCTCTTAAAGGTAAGATAACTCTCTATTGTTCACTATTCACAATGTCAGTCTTAATGAATAACACGGTTAAATTCTTCTCACTGCTACCATAAAATTTGCTGCATTGGTTTCTGGATTTCATAGCAGCAATAGCTACAAGGCAAGAACTGACACACCGGAAAAATATTTGCATTGCTTCCTGAGAATGTCATTGTATACTTGCTTTATAGATAAATACATAGTAAGGATTGGGTTAACGGTATTTTCAGGCACAAAAGTACCCTTAAAAATTGCTTTTAGTGTCCCCAAACTCCTACTTCACATGCATTTTTTAAAATATTCTTCTAAGAAAAAGAAATTAAACATGAAGCTGACAGGCTGCAAAGCTAAGCACCCCAGCCTCTAAACTTTATTTCTCTTTGGGCAATGACTTTGGGCTCCAGAAAGACCCCTACTGGAGTTAGAAGGCAGTGGTGAAAGCCTAACTTGTATTTTAAATGTATTCTTCTTATTAACCATTTATAGCAACCATTGTGTGATTAAACAAGTCTCCCATTACAATAATTTTGGGATCATGCTACCCACAGATTCGCCAAAATTCAAAACAGATATTTAGCCTCAAAAGATCAACTATTCAAAGTTTACAGTTTTACTTGAAGATGGTGGAAAATTACAAATGGTTTGATGGTTGATGACTTATAGCTATTAGATATTTCTCTTATATTATTTATTTTCATTTTAAAAATGGTTGTAAGTAGAAAAACCCTCGGTCTTTCTCAAAATAAGATACTATGAGCCTGGTTTATATACCAACCATACCAATTCCTAAGTTGCTTTGCTTGGTTTATCTTAGCACAGAATGTAAATCTTGCTGTTGTAGCCTAGAAATCTTTATTTATGATTTTAATCAGGTTATATGGACTGAGTCAAACATGGTTTATTCAATATTCCATTATTTCACATACAATAATAGTTGAACCTAGTCACTTTATACAGAAACAATGTTTTATTTGTGGAGACCAGGATGGTTTAAGAACTCTGGATTTGAGTTACATAAAGAGACGATGCATGGATAGATGAACAGACAGATGACAAACTGACAAAAATTTAAGAATTATTTTAAGGATTATTGCATGTATAGGCTGACTTTCATGGCAGATTGTAGGAGCAAGACTGGAGAGAAAATAATATGCATATCATACTTTTTGTCAAGATTTATCCCTTGTACACCTTATTTTTTAAGAGAGGGAAAATAATTGTGGTTTAAATAAAAAAGCAGTGTTGGTGAGCTAAAGATACGCAGAAATCAAGGATTCCTTTATTGGCTCTTCTGCTCCTGCTATGGATTTGGAACCTGTGGGTATTCCTTGGAACACTATTAGTTTTACCATTGTTTTATTATAATGTCTTCATTAATTTGTAAGAGACTTGTTTAGATAAAAGCAGCATATAAGTAAACAAATACATATATAAATATTGAATTTTTAACATTAGTAACCTCAAAGAGTCTTGCCAAAGGTAGTGTGATGTCTCTTCCAGATTAGAGGATCTCATTGAGGTTACCATATTTAAGGTCCTTCCAGTCCTGCATCTCCAAATTTCTTTTTTCTTTAAAAAAAATATAGTGCCTCATAATCTCCATTTGAATTATTTATTTGTGTGTGCACTCACATATCCACATAAACACACACAAATAAATATACTAAATTAAGACAGAAATTAAAAACTGATGGATCTCTTTAAAATGTTCTTAGTTAATGACAGAATATGACTTGTAACAATGAAAATTTAGCTAACATTAACATTTGTGGACAGGACAGCTTAACTTCCAAGTGTATGCAGTTCTTCTGAAAATGTTAACTGCAAATGCTCACATCTTCATCAGCTGCTTTTTTTCACACATGCATAAAACTCCCTTACTGTTAATTTCTTTTCTTGGCTCCTGGAGTACTTGTAGTTTAAGGACAAAGGCTCTTTTGCACTTAATTTGAATGTGATAGCTGACCCTTCTTGCACCTAACTTGAATTCTTATGTTTGATGAAAAGTTTAAACTCCATCTGTTTCAAAACTATTTTGCAGAAATGAAGGTGACCCTAGGGGCATGGGAAAATGGTGGAGAAAACTAAATATGTGTGGGTGTTATACATGCACAAACTCTGTATTCGTTTGCATTGACTATATTAATTCTGGATAGAGAGACTCAGTTCTAGGGAGATGGGATGACTCACCTCTCTATCTCTCCTCCCCCCTCCGTCTCTCTTTGTGTAGACTATGCTTCCGTTCAACCTGCCTAATTTTTAAATGGGATAGAACATTTAATACTGACTTTCTTTCAACACTCTCAGTTAAAAGTTCAGTTTGTTCCAAGCAATGTATTCACCTTGCAGGTTTTAAGTGAATTAGTTACATTCCCTGATGAAAAACCTGAGCTAAAAATGAACTCAAAAGTCTACTGAACTGAGATGAGCTGATAAAGATGTACAGTATAGTGATGCAAATCCTTATTCAAATTGTTGATTGCAAGCACCAGCTTTACTTAATATTAGTTTAGAAGGGAATGCTTCTTCTTAAATGATACCTGCCCAAAACATCAATGATAGCTGCATCAAATAAGAATGATACCTACAGTCATGACTGAAGGCAGATTTCAATCTGGGTTTCCTGGATAAGTTCAATATCTAAACCCCTATTCTGTCCTAGTGTTCCAATTCCTTCTGAGGAAACCATATCTTGGCTAAATGCTATAGCCTGGCTCCAGGTTCAACTTGCCCACTGAATCTTAATACCCCCCCCCTTCATTACAAGTTACCGTATATACTCGAGTATAAGTCGACCCGAATATAAGCCGAGGCACCTAATTTTACACAAAAAACTGGGAAAACTTATTGACTCGAGTATAAGCCGAGGGTGGGAAATGCAGCAGCTACTGGTAAATTTCAAAAATAAAAATAATTAATTTGGGAAACGATCTCACTATCATGAAAGGTTTAATTGATTCACTAACCCAAAAGAAGAAGATGATGATGACAGCGGGAGGCAGGAGTCACTCTCTTCCCCTCCCTCGGAGGCCCCCTGAGTCAGGAGTCACTACCGCCGGCGCGGCCCCAGTCCCGCCACCTCGGGAAGGGAAAGGCAAAGCGCTTTTTGCCTTTCCCTTCCCGGCTGGGGCTGTTGGGAGTCGCTGCCGCCGGAGGCCGCGACTCCACACCATTTTTTTTTTCAGAGGGGAATCTGACTCGAGTATAAGCCGAGGGGGATTTTTTCAGCACAAAAATTGGGCTGAAAACTAGGCTTATACTCGAGTATATACAGTATATCTTGTAATGCAAAGGTGGTATTCAGCAGGTTCTGACCAAAGGTAGTATTCAGCAGGTTCTGGAGAACCAGTAGCGGAAATTTTGAGTAGTTCATAGAATCGGCAAATACCAATGCTGACTGGCCCCACCCCCATCTATTCTCTGCCTCCCAAGTCCCAGTTGATTGACTGGGTCTTCTTTTGTTGCCCTGCACAGGAAAATGGAGCTGGAAAGCAGGTTAGTTGGGTAGGGAAGGAATTGGGATTTTGCAGTAACCTTCCCCCAGGAGTGGGGGTGGGAATAGAGATTTAACAGTATCCTTCCCCTGCCATGCCCATCAAGCCACACCCACAGAACTGGTAGTAAAAAAAAATTGAATCCCACCACTGTTCTAATGAATGATTAGTGCATATTTTACTCATAGTTTCACAATATATTTTGTGTTCGTTATCATAGGAGAAAAAAAATGTCCATATTTTTTTCTTCACATTGTCAAAACTATTTGAAGGCCTGGAATTGAATTGAATGTGATTCTGAGCTGACACATACACTGGATTCTTTCTCTTTTTCTCTAAGTGTATAGATTGTGCAGAAATTACTGTAAACAATTCCCACAAAGAGAAATGGATGTTTTTTCATGCAGGAAACCAAGAAATCAAATCCATTTCTTGTAAATCCAATTATCCCTACTTAATTACTGAGAATGTCATATTTTCTAACACCAGGCTAATATACAAGGGACATGATTTCATTCGTAGTATCTTGCTATACAATCTTGGCCACAATCAATAGGCTAATTAGCATTTTTTAATTAATCTCTGGCATAATACTTTTGTTTTCCCCCCTTAAAGCTTGCTAACCTGAAACATGCATTGATCAGTTAATACGGTACAAACATATATGTAAAATAAATTGAAATGATGAGTTCTTTTTGTTGTTTTAATTTTAATACATTTCTCTCTTATCAAATGAAAAAGGGTTTTTTTTAAAAAAAAAGTTTGACTGGTAAAGAACAGGCAGTAATTATTTCAAGTATTTTAAAATTCATCTTTCAAGACTAATAAATAGGCTTGTCAATGAAATATGAAACTTGCTTTATATTTGTTCCTTCATGAAGCATCACCTTTAACTAAAAATGAAAATCTTGGAGACAGAGGAATAAATGAAATTAACAATATATCCAGCTCATGAATTGCCACTTGAGATTTGCTCAAAATGCCAACATAGATCTTCCAGAAATTGGTGGGTTTTTTATGTCATCAAAATTATCCATGTCTCTTGGGAATCAGTTAAAAGCAACTCTATAATAATTAACTTCAATGGAAAATATCTGAGTCCACTAAAATATTTTGTTGCCATGAAAAAATAGGATGATGAGCTTCCTCAGTATTTTATGAGCAAAAGGCCACCAACCTGTTAGTTGAATCTTTCTCCAAGATTTGTAAAGGAAGACCATTCTCTGAGAGGAGAGACAGAGGTGTGGTCTAATCCAGTGGTTGCCAACCAGTGGACTGCAAGAAAATTTTGGTGGTCCGCAGAGAAATGTCACCCACAAAGCACCCCACAAAGCAATTAATCCAGGCTACGTGGGAACACAAGGCTTGCATTGCTTGCATTGTGGACAATAAGAGGTAGTGAGGGGAGGGGGGAAAGGGCGGGGGGGGGGG